TATATAGTTTATATGAAGCACTTGAAGTAAAAATAAGTCAGCAGTGTGCGGTCTGCATTTAATTAGAAAGCGTTATATTAGCCTATAATCAGGAAGTGCATGTTAGCATGCTGCTTCTTATTAGCTTTGCCATCACAGAAAAACTGAGCTTTGTGTTTGAGAGTTGTGAAAATGGGTTATAAAAGGGCTTATGGTAAGTGTGGAATAAATAAAACTGACTATATTTGTTTTTCATGTTTTGAGGAGAGTACCAGCGCCTTTAATTAAGGATTTAGGGTCAGGACTTTTGGTTATGGAATTACTGTAAGTAGTTATGAAGCATACATTTTTAGACTATGTGTTAATTACAAAATAAGTCTTTCTTTTTCAAGGCTATTGAAAATTCAAGTTATTATAAAGTGTTACCGAATGTGTGATGTTACAAAATCTAATAAAAACACATGGATTTGTCTGGTTTAACCTTGGGTAAAAGTTGAAATAGTGCATGTTTGAAAGTGCAGATGTGCAGTTGGTGCGGCTGAAAGGTGAGGATGACTAATGACAGTGATTAGGATGCAGACTTGAGGTGGACTGAGGAGTGAGGAAGGTCAGGGGCTTTAAAAGAAGAACTGGACTCATATCAGAAACAGGGCCAAAGGACACTGGGGCTGGTAACTGAATCTGAATGAACAGAGTATTGAGTATTGATATTTTGCAGTGACAGAGGAAGGGGGCACACATTAACAAAATACACCCAAAAAGGATTCGCTGAAAGGCTCCGTTTAACAGAGGGATCATTTCCTTCTATCTATCCCACTGATACAGTAAGTCAAAAATGACACCAAATTAGTTGAAAAGTTTATATATGACGTTGTGGTTTGTGTGGAGTTTGTTACTCCAGAATTAGCTATGAATAAATTTGTTTGTATATCCAGCTGCATGAAGTCATTTGTGTTCCTTTTTTTTCATCATTCACTATCTTCCACCTAAAAGTGCTTTAAAGTTAGTTAGCTGTAACTTCTAGCACACCAGGCTAATCGCTTGTTTATAAGACGGTCATAGACGTGGATTTGGGTGGTAAGTGACTGTGGATCTTCACAACCTAGTTTTAATGTGTAACGTTATGTTCCAACCAAGAATGAACACTGTGGTCTTTAGGAGCCTGCCCCGTTATCGCAGTCTGGGCAGAAAACATCTGATGCATTTTCAATAGAGGAGCTGGTAACACAAAGAGAGTAGCTACACAAACGTGTAAATATTCCTAATAGAGAATGTCTTTGCAAATAACAACAAAGCAACCACATGTGAGTTGTAAGAAGACGCCAGCTGCTGTGTTTTACTCAAATACTTTATTCAGCTCAGATTTGCATTTAGTGTCTAGTAATAATAGCATAAACAGGCAATGCCCAGTTTATTCCTGTTTTGATCTGTCTGGTTACATGTGTATGTGATCAAAAGGGGGATTGTGAACAATAATCTCATTCATACTTAATACTGGCTACATTTAAAGTGCAAAATGTTCTGCTCAGTAACCTTGATCATGAATGCTTCTCTGTTTTATGATACAAACTGCAGAAGCTCTGGAAAATTCCCAGGGTAAAATGATCAGCTGAAGATAACACTTATAATTGGACAATACAAAAGCTTTGGTTAGACTCTCAGACCCTCGGACTCTCAGAAACTCTCTAGACGCTTGTAGACGCTCTGATGTTTTTGAATGAACGTACAAACTGAAGGCAGAGTTCTCTTTGTAAGTTATTATCTGAGGTCCACACTCTCCTGACCTGCTCCTGCTCCATCTAATGTCATGTAATTAATGTTATTTAAAGTAAGCTACAGGACTTTAATTAAAAAGTAAGACAGTGTAGCAAGTTACAAGTCATCTTCCTTCAGAAGTAAACCTGTTCAAGTCAAATACTGACATCACTTTTAACTACTAACAATTAATCCATAATGCTGATTTATTCACAGTTCAAAACACTGTCAGTGTACACATCATTTTAAACACACAATAGGCAAAAAACACAATGCAAAACATCCACCATAAAACTGTAAAATAAAAGATCTTAGACAAAATATGTAATTGTGTGGTGTGGGGAACTAACCTGCTTTAACCTGCTTTAACCTGCTTTAACCTGCTTTAACCTGCTTTAACCTGCTTTAACCTGCTTTAACCTGCTTTATTGTGTATCTTTTCTGGTGGAGGGCCCGTCAAGCGCTTTTCTCCATGGAGAAGTTATTGCTTTGCAGAGGTGAAGACTTTGAAGTCATGACTTGGACTTGAGTCAGACTTGAGTCCCTATTTTGAGGACTTGAGACTTGATTTGATAAAATGGACTAAAGCTTGGGACTCGACTTGGACTTGAAGATCAATGACTTTGGACTTGACTCAGACGTAAGAGCTGTGACTTGAGAAGACTTGATGCTTTTCCTAAAAAAAAAATGTTTTTAGAAAATGCTTTTCTCTTTTCAGTAGATACGTTCGGAGCTGAATTTTACACTAAGAAACTGGAACTTGTCCCTTCCACTTCTGTTACTTTGGATGGAACTGAAGTACTGTTATCAAATACCTTACAGTAATATAAAGTACAATGCAGTACAGTACAGTAAAACAGAGGGAACTATATAGAACATGATCCTTAAATTACATGACAAAATAACAGTTATTAAGCACTTTTAAATCTTAATTCTTTCTGTTCTGACTGTAATGATTCACTCTAAGATCTTTGGTTTAAAGACTTGAAATGACTCGAAGCAGACGACTTGGACTTGACTTGGACTTATGGGCCAGTGACTTGAGACTCGACTTGGACTTGCCTGTATTTCACTTGGGACTTGACTTGGACTTGAGGTCAAACACTTGAGACTTACTTGCAAAATAACGACTTGGTCCCACCTCTGTTGCTTTGTCAGGAATGTTTCACAGTATGGTGTAAACCTTTCTATCTTCATGAAGACAAAACCAGACCAGGTTACAAGTCAGATCTGTGGAGATGAGACCCCGCTCACAGTCAGAATGCCTGTTTTTCTAGTTTTTTTTTGTTTTTTTTAGCTATAAAACCATCTGTAATTGAATAAATGTAAAGAAGAGCTGTTTAATGTCATACTGTGGAAAGATGTTAACCATAGAAAGAAGCAGGTGATGGACCCCCACAGTGAACCTTTAAAAAGAACATTTCTAGCAATAATATTTCAAAATTGAAGCTACAACTTTTTACTCTCCCGAACACCATTTATAACACATTCACATCCGGAATGATGATAGCTGTATTAAAATCATCTTTACTCTGGTCCCATTGGATAAAAATAGACTCTGGAGACAGTGGCTCATTAAATGTTCACACCATGACATATTATAGAGACTTAATTCCTGTGCTGTGTGCATTTTGACTGCCTATGGTGAAATGTAATTCTATAGACTTGGCTGCCTCTCAATTATTTTTCAGAGCTTGGAGGCAAACACAGGCTCTTCGGGTTGCAGGTATAAGCACTTCTTCTTCTCAGTCCCTGACCAGACATGCACGGCGTATGTGAGAGCCAATCATGTCTTCTCCTGCTTCTCCAGCTGAGGTGCAGTTGGAGCAATTGGATTCTGGAGCAGAGCAGCTATCAGGTCCCATCCCTGGACTGTACGACAGCCGGGGACAATTGGGTTTGAAACATGATAATAGACTCCGGAGGAAAAGCCAATAGATTTGTGCAGAAGAAAGGTGCACATATTCTCACACAGAAACAGAGTACAGAGGCAGAAGAACCAGCGGCGTGGGTCCTCTCAGCTGGAGCAGAGCCAGTCCCAGTATTTAGGTCAAGACAACACTGTAATTAATAGGGATGTAATGTTAACTGAAATATCGTGATATCGTATCGTCAAAGTTCTCAAAATAATATTGTGGACCATCACAATATATTGAATTACAAGTCTCTTTGCTTAAATTAAGAGTTATGGTGCAGCAATAGCTAAAAGAAGACAGAGGGAACTACATAGACCATGATCCTTTGCTCAATTTCAGTGCAGACTACATGAAGAAATAACAGTTCTAAGCACTTTTAAGTCTTAGCTCTTTGGATTAAGTCTTGTCAAGGCATTTTAAGATGAAAAAGTAGCATATTAACAATTTTGTTAGCCTCCATAAAATATATGTAAATATTGTACCAAGAGATTTGGATATTGTTACATTCCTAATCGTGAGTCTCCCCACCATATCGTGAGCTTTCCCACGATACCGTATCGTGAAGTTCATACCGTGACAATATCGTATTGTGAGACTTGGATATCGTTACACCCCTAGTAATTAAAGGTCCTATATTTTAAAATTGACTATTGGGAGTTTTAAGACATGTTATAAAGTTGTTAGCTCCTCAAAAACATACCTGGAGTTGTGTTTTCTCCGTTCCACCTTGTGATGTAATGTCCTGGCAGTTTTCAAGTTAACAATTACCTTTTACCTTTTGTTCAGCAGAGATCAGCAATTACAGGGTTGAAATTATCCAAATGATTCTAGTGAAGGGGTATGAAGTTTAAAAACACAGTGAAGCACTTTCTGGATTACTTACTGAGGAAACAGCATTGCAGTGTAACACGGGGCTTTAAATAGAATCAGAGAGTACAGAGCACATACTGTACCAGAGAACGCATAGTTAGTCAGAGCTGGATGTTTTTCTCTTTTACAGTTATAGAAATTACAACAGAGAAGTGAGTGAATTCAGTAATTAGACGCCAAACGTTGAAGCATATATTGTGTATACACATTGTACATTTGAATCAATTACTTTTTTCAACTGAGATTGAAAAAAGATTCCTGTTTGAAGCAAATATATAGAGAAAATTATAAATGACTGAAGGATTTTACACTGGATAAACAGGTAAATTATTTCAGTTCACTTTTAATTGAACTTTATAAATAGACCTTCCCGTAATAATTTTAATGAAAGTCTCCTTAAAAGAAAAAAAAATAATAATAATAATTGTGCAAAGAAAAAATAAACAGAATTAGTGAAACTCTGTGACATTGCAGTAACATTAGCTGTTTTATTGTTTTAATTTGAATCAATATGACAGATGTAGGAGTAGATATAGATGTAATGAATCAGGCAGATGGCAGGTTATCGGGAACATGTGGTTAACCTATAAAGATGCAAGCTGTATCACATCCACCTGTGAACTAATACAGTTAAAGTTGTCCAGCAATAAACACATTTTCAGGGTTTTAGCCTGTACAAAGTAGACTCAAAAAATTTTGTTGAAATATTACAGTGTAGTAACAGTGCTTTATGTACAGATCATATATTAAATGTTTTAAACAGTTAAATTAATGTCAAAGTGACCTCTTCAGTCTTCTAACTCATGTTATTAGCACATAAATATCTTTTCTGCTGAACCTTTGCGATGTCTAATAGAAAATAAAATAAAGTCCTTTATAGCACAAAGCCACAGTCTGTTGCACTAGTCCATCCACGTTGAAGGGCCCTCACTCTTCTCTCCAATAATCAAGCCTATAATGTCCAAACAGGCCGGAGAACCAGAGTTTGTTGATGGCGAGAGGCAGTAGTTACAAAGCCAGGAGTGTGTGTAAACAGGGCAGTAGCAGCACCAACATGGCTGCCGTCAGTGCGCCACTCCGGGATGAGCTCTTCACACCCGGGTCTTTGGCAGATGGGGAATGGTGATGACGGCCATGATGAGGGTCCTGATCACTGGGCGCATCTGGACTCGCTGAGGAGAGAGGGAGAGAGGGAGAGAGGAGAGAGGGGGGGAGAGGGGGAGAGGGAGAGAGGGAGAAGGAGAGAAAAGAGGAGAGGGAGAGAGAGGTGGACAGAGACAGACAGAGAGAGAGAGAAAAGGGGAGTAGGAGAGAGAGAGAGAGAAAGGAGGAGACGGAGAGAAAGACAGACAGTGAGAAAGGAAGGAAATGGGGGAGAACGAGAAAAGGGGTGGGGGGACAGACGAAGATAGGACAACCAGAGAAAGGGAGAGAGAGAGAAACAGACAGAGAGAGAGAAAAAGGAGGAGAGGGAGAGAGAGACAGACAGGGAGAGAGAAAGGACAGACAGAGAGTGAGAGAGAGGGAGTGAGAGTGAAAGGGGGAGACGGGGAGAGAGGGGGGTGAGAGAGATAGACAGGGAGGGAGGAAGGAAAGGGGGGGTGAGAGAGAGACAGAGAAAGGGAGAGAGGAAGGAAAAGTGGGAGAGAGAGAGAGAGAGGAGGGAGAAAGAGGGAGAAAGGGGAAGAGGGAGGGAGGGAGACAGAGAAAGAGAGAGAGAGAGAGAGAGAGAGGAATGAAGGGGGGGAGAAGAGGGGGGAGAAAGGGAGAGAGGGGACAAAGTTATTAACATTCATAACCCCACATGTCCTGCGCTGATGTGATCACAGAGAGAGGAGAGGCAGCTGTCAGGCAGGACTGGAATATGCTCCAAAGAAAAACACTGTAGATCAGCAGCTCATACTGGATAAAACAATAAGACATTCTTTACATTAAAGGTGCACGGCTTAAATATTGTGGTGGATCTGCCACCTGCTCGTCTCCATGGAGATGACATTAAACTTGGACACTATGGACACAAGCAGGTTACGCCACCAGCCAAGTAACAGGTTAGATCTGTGGAGAGGCGACCCTGCTCACAAAAAATATTTTTAGCTTTTCATATTACTTTTGAGCAATAGAACACACATAACAAAGTAAATGCAAGATAAATGAGTTTAATGCCATACTGTGGAACATTCTAGGCAGCAAAGTAACATCTCCATGGAGACAAAGCAGGTGGCAGACACACTACCAGATTTGACCGTGCACCTTTAAAACTATATCAACAAAATATATGATAAACATTTTGTTCAATTCAATCCAGTTGTCCAAACAAACATGACTGTATCTGAAGAGACAGGATAATTAAAGATGTAGCTCTCATGTTTATTCTAACAAATTATATTTTTGTATTTGCTCAGCTCTGAAAAATAAACACGTCAAGGCTGCTCATACAAAATTGAAAAAGTGAATTAAATAAAGCAGCTAAATTAAAATACTGTTTTTATAACCGTTAGTAAGATTACCTTTTGTCATGGTAAATTGTTTTTGGCAATACTTTATTCCAAATTTTCATGTTTTAATAAGTGTAATTTGACTGTTGCCGATTGCAGCAGAAGCATATCTATTAATGTGGGAACAAACTGCCTTTTTACTGTGATACTTAAGAAGGAATATGTCACACAATACAAAAAATAGCATGGATAAAATGAACTACTTAAAGGAAAATATATTTAGTTTTAACTACAGACTTGCATTACTAAAAAACAAGACTGTAGTTAAAGGTGCATTGTGTAACTTTTCTGGTGGAAATGTTTTGTCTTTGTCTGGAATGTTTCACAGTATGGCATTAAACATTTCCATCTTCATGACAGACCAAACCAGACCAAGTTACAGGTCAGATCTGTGGCGAGGCGACCCCATTCACAGTCAGAATGCCTGTTTTTCTAGGTATTTTTGAGCTATAAAACCATTGCAGTTGAATAGATGTAAGCTGTTTAATGTCATACTGTGGAACATTCCAGGCAGAGCATTAAAATCCCCACCAAAAAAGTTACACAGTGCACCTTTAAAGCAGGATGTATCCGTATCCGCCGTACCACAATACACAAAAAATGAAGTGTCTCTGAATGACAAATCCTCCCTCTTTACTATAGCAGCCTGTTGCTCTAGATTGCAGGTGTCTCTCATATATAAACACAACTTTTTGTTTTCCTCGTAGCCTTCACTTCTCAAACCCATATTTTCTGGACCGGAGCACCACTCGGGTCCCACACCTTTGAAATTACACCGCCACCGAAACTGTTATCAGCTACGACAACTGCACAAGCCGCACTGTCAACATCCATCCTACTGTTTACTCCAATCTGAACCCACCCCAGAAAGAAACTCCACATCTTGTAGTGACTGAGGCTGTGTCCTCTTTAGCCCTATTGTAAGTTACCTCAGGATACCCCCAGCCTGTGTAGAAAAACTGGACTTGGGCTATAGAATGAAGACAAACTGCCCCCGGAAAAGAAGTTACTTTGCTAAAGCCACAGGTCTGTCACTAGAGGCAGGATGGCTTCAGCCCGCAGTCTTTCAGGGATCTCTTTGTTCAGTTTATCTGAGAGGAGAAATAGGAGCACTAGTGAAGAGAAAATGATTTTAAAATGTGGAGAATAATGTATGTAATGTAATTCTTTCAGTCACTGTGCCCCATGAGGCTTTTGGATGACATTAAAAACAGGGATAAACATAAATAAATGCAAGACACATTCTCTAATATACTATAAAAGAAAACTGAACACATTGGGATGCAGTATTTTTGTTTGTCATAGGATTGCGTTATATACTAGCCAGGTTGGTGCCACCTAGTGCATCCACTCAATTTAATTTCTTTCCAGCGACTAGGTTAGGAATCGGAATACAATACACGGTTCACAAAAACCCCGGAAGTGCGAGTTCGAGCACCAGCCAATCAGTGAAGAGTCATACATTCTGTGTCGTCAATGATTCCCGAGATCGAGGAAAGCCAGAACAAAGAGAATGTTTGGTGAATTTTATCAAGGGGAACGACGTTATTGCCCTTCTTCCTATGGGATTTGGGAAAAGTTTAATATACCAGTTAGCCCCGTTAGCGGCACATTACATAGGTCACGACCAAATAGCAGCGAATGAGAAAAAGTACTTGCCTACCATCGAGTGAACAAATTCCAATGCTGCGAAGTCAGATGGTTTCCACGAAGTGAAACCGGCTGATGAATCAGAGTAGTTATATTCTGCCAACAGACTTGAAACATCTCACAAGAGCTGCGTTCTGGCAAATGTTCACGATTTTCAAGGGCTCTCACCACGCAATCCAATTTTCCGCTTTCTAAGACATGAACCTTGGGGACAAAATGTCAACAACCATAATGATGAGAATGTCCACGTGTGAATAGTGTTACCTCCAAGATTGCGTACTATCTACTATCTACTATTTACTATCAAGAAATTCATGACATTTCTTTTTATTAAATTTATTAAATTATGTTCAGAAATACAAACTTGCCACCAGCATTTTCAGAAAGGTTTCAGAATGATGAGAAAATTAGGACTAGTAAACAACAATTTAAAACTAAACATTAAGCTATTACGTGTTTTGAAAGGTCCTCAAAATGTTGCCTCACACAAACTCATAGCGTATTTTTAGACAGATAAAGTGTTACACAAAAAGATTAGAGCTTTCTTCTGAATCTATTGAGAAAAGTGCAAAAAGAAAATAGCCCAGTATTGATGTTTGACTGAGCAGACCCCAGGAAGTCTATTGAAGACATACGGCTCACATATGGACCACCGACCCAGGACTCTGAACTTTACCACTTCAATACAGCGCTTTCATTCAAATACCAGGGCTCCAAAGGCTGCAGCAGCACACAGCAGCACACAGCAGCACACAGCAGCCAGCACTGTCTTTGAAGAAGAAATGGCCCATTATTAAATGTTTCTCTCCCAACAGTGACCCACTATCTTAATCAATGTATTATGTCATCAAGTTATACAGGTTGATTGTGTCACTTCTCTGGTGGGTGGTGCTTGGCTCCATGGAAAGATGCTTTGCCTGTTATGCTTCACAGTATGGCATTATTTCACAGTTTAATTTATTTGTTGTTTTTATTATGTTTTATTGTATTAAACTGTAGTTTGTTTGTTTTTTCTTTATGTGCATCACTTTAGACTCAGTCTTTGTTTAAGAAATATGCCATAAAAACAAAGTGAACTGGATTAAACATACTTGATCTCTGTGGAAATGAGCAGCTCATGCCATCAGGATTGTCAGATCTGTGGGGAGTCCTGCTCATGTGTATTTCTAGGCAAGAACAACTGTCATTGAATATTTGAATTAAAAAAATCAATGCTATACTCCAGGTACTGTATCCCCCATCAGAAAAAAATTATAGTTCATACTGTAGTTCACCTTGAATGGCAGAAAGACTGCGTTCACAAAACACTTCACTCAAACACAAAAAGATGTTTTAATCTCCAAAGTATCTTTTAAAAAGCTTATAATAGGCACTATAGACTTGTTCCTTCTCTGGCCCTTTGTGACTGCTAAGATAAACAGTTTTAATGGTATACACTCTATTTTGAGTTGTTTTGCAGTGCCAATTCTCCTGCCGTTAAAACACAAAGGACAATGGAGTCTCTTTTTTTTACAATAGCTGATTAAATATAATGTATGATTAACATTAAATTGGCTGACCATCTCTTCTCTGCATGTACACACTAATTATAAACCATGACAACGGCTCCAAAGTCATCAAAGTAAATATAGCACTTTTTTGGACACTCAAAGATTCTTTACAGACAGAAAGAAGAAGACAGTAGAAAAAGACAGTGGAAATCATGAGGGGAATGCCACATTGAACAGGTGAGAACATGGCTACGTACTTTTATTTTAGTTTCTTAAGTAAGTGTGGGATGTCAGTATTATATGGATGATCTATAATTAAGATTATTCACATCACAAGTCATTTCAATTCAATCCATCTCAAAAAAGTGAACCTTAAAGTGTTTTTATTTTTTTATCTTACAGTTTATAGGTCCGTGTACCATTTGTTCTTTTGAATTTCAATTAAGTATGAAAATAAAATGAGAAAACAGTTTGTTATTTCATTATTCTGTTTTAATGTCAAACAAAAAAACAGATGTTGGCCTCTATTTCCAATAT